GAACCCTATGAGCACATATGGTGGCCATTCTAGAAACGTCCGTAGCCCCAGTATTATTCTGAAGTAAGGGCACAGATAATATGGCAAGGCTATCATAGTGTTGAGCGACCCTGTCGAAAGGCAGTAACTGATCTCACTTGTCAAGGTTGTTTGGTGACAACCTAGTGCAACACATGGGTGCTTGCTGTAGGCTTTTTTACCGCAGCAAGTTCATTGGACAGACCTACCAGAGGATTCCATATGGATGGTAACCCCAGTGTCTATGGAACAAATCCTCTAACGAATGGTGGTGCATTTGATCCTTAGACTAGAGATCACCGGAGCGCCTTGTACACCGATTGGTGCAATTTGACACTAGCCTAATGCAGTTCTATTTAGAGCTGTCAATGCGGTGGTGATTGGCTACATCAAGGAGTGTATCAGGACTATGGTGGATAGACAGAAGATTCATCACTGCCAGGTATGGGAGAAGTTATCTCACGATGCAATTCAGTAAATGGCAATGACACTAAAACTGTGGCCACAATGGGATTGAGTTGTTGCTCTATCCGGATTATAATACAGGTCATTGGTCTAGAAACTGAATACATAATATCGAGAGTAACCGAAGGTTGACACTATTTCTATGCCTTTGTCTCGTCGAGATAACGTATGATGAAAGGATCGAATTGTACGGTAACCATATTGTTGACAGGTAGCTACTTTGCTGAATCCGAATCTATCGGGTGGCCATGATGCCTTGCTAGGGGCTAATCTTGGTTTGTGTATTAGTGATACGATTAATTGGTGTTAATCGCGATACTATACACTACTGGTATGATGAGGAGCCTATGGGTCACACACATAGAAGATAATTTAAGACTCAGGAAGAAAGAAGGGCGTTTTCATCTTTATGGCGAAAGGATATTTTGGTAATTTTACAGTGCAATTAAATTTGCCGAGGTCGTAGCCTTTTATTTAATTTGTTAGAAAAATTAAATAAGTGAAATTACATTTAAATATGTGTTAGCATATATTTAAATAAATTATCATTATTGTTAAATGTTAATATATATATATTAATTGATTTTAATTGAAGATAATGATGAAATAAATATCTAAATGGAAGTGTTTGGTAACATGGGGTGTTTGGGTTGGAGCCCAAGCCTAGACCCTATGGGAATAGGACAATTGAAATTTGGCTATAAAAGAAAATCTTTAGTTGAAAAAGGTTAACTTTTTCATTCATCACTTTTTATTTCATTGAACAAGAAAGAAAAACACAGCCCCCCAAATCTCTCTCCCACGCCAGTTTTGGTTTTGTCTAAAATCAAATACATTTCATTTTTTCTTTGTTCTTAGGGCTAAGGAGGATCTAGCAAATCCCTCCTTAGTTCCTTGCGATTGTCTTCGTGTGGACTTCATCGATTCGATCTTACACTTGGGTCGGTAGCAAAATACGTTTAGAGACAACTTGGAGGAGCCTCCAAACGTGGGTATGGTTTCTAAACTTCAAACTGATTTTTCTGCAAATTCTTATAATGTATAAACTGTGATTTTTGTACCCGGATCTTGGTTCTAAGGAACGATCCATGTAGTTTATGTTTTTGTTTTCCGTTTTCCGTTGCGTAACTGGGTTGTTCACTAACAATTTGTTAAATGCTTAACAAATTTTTTGCAATTTTAGGAACACATAGCATGTTCTTAAGATGCAATAATCTGGAAGAATGACTAGAAAAGAGAAAAGACAGACCCTTATGGGAGACAAGAATAGTTTGTCCATTGCCAACCTGCACATTGGATCCTTCTTGGCAATTTTCTTTGATCAACAGGTTGTTAATATCAGCTGTCATGTGGTTTGTTGCACTAGAATCTACATACCATGTTTGATCTATAAGAGTATGTGGAGTAGTAGAGGTACATTAAGGGAATTTACTAGAACTGATAGGTGATCAGTCTCTAAGCAAGGAATAGGAACATGACCACCAGTGTAAAACCCCTCCCTAGCCGGGTATTTCCTAAGTATCCCTTGGCCATTGAGAACCTAGAAAACGCACGCCTAGGAAAGAAGTTTATTTTAAAATCCTATTTAAAGAATAAACTTGTAGTTTAAAACATATATATAGATATATGTGTTTAATTTTTTTTTTTTTCTATAATAAGTTCATTGTATAATCAAAAAATATAATTTCCTTTCTTGGAGTAAATTATGAAATCCATAGTAATACTTACTAGAACATACACACTTTTATAAAATTTACTAGCAATTTGATTTCCTTTATTAATACAACATATTTACTCCATTATAGAACATGGACATAATTACTACATTATGAGATATGAACATAATTACTACACTAAATATTAGCAAAACCATTCAATAGTCATCATTAAAGCATCCCCTCATGCTCATAGCGTCCCTTGGAATCCTCTCCCAGCTTCATGCCTTAATCCGTACCTGCAAAACATTTTAAAACATTTCGTGGGGTGAGCGCTAATCGCTCAGTAAGGAATATGGCCATTTATAAACTATTAAGGTTCATTATACAAGTAAATTACTTAGGACTTTACCTACCTACAAAACATGACCTTCATTCTTTGACATAACAAGTTCATAAAACATATCATACATTTTGGACTTTTCTCATAAACATAAGTCATAACATAACCATACATAATATAACATAGAACATAAATGACTTATGAAATATTCATGTACATGGCATGCTTATTTGTTTTGTCTATATACTTGACGATTTCATTAGTCTTTGTTATCCGATCGGATTCATTTGAACCATTACCTTGTTCTTGGTCGTCACCTCAAAGGACTCATGGTTTCCATAAGAATTCCATTCCTCTGATCTTGGTTTATACCTCAAGAGACTCATGGAATTCATTCTTTAACATTTCATAAATTTTTCATAAGACAACTAAATAAGCTATATGCATTACCATTATGAATGCAAACATATGGACTAACATATTCCATGCTCAATCATACTATATTCTCCTACTAAACTTCTTAACTTAATTCATTCAATTTCTCATACAATACAAAGAATTTCAGTAGTAAGATTATTCAGGGGTTTATTAGAATTAGAAACAAATGGGAATTTCCATTAAGAAGGTGGATGCCATACAGTTCGTTACTTTCAAGCAATTTTTCCATTATCTTCTAATTCGAATTTATTTTTGGCTAAAACATAAACGTTTTAGGTCTGTTTCTCAAATTTTTAACACTTCAAGAATCAACTCAATCGGACTTCTATAACTTCAGTTATGACTGATTCAGTGAAGCATGTACAGTATAAGTCTTAAAACAGCCAAATCCGAATTCTATTCATTTTAACCATGTCACCTTCATTTGCACATTCATATTATTTGCCATATCATTCTAAGTATAAAAGGCCATAAAAACCTCCCTTTTTACAGAACCAAAAAGTGCCAAAACATCGTCCAACTACAAATCTCTTAATTGGCATAATCATCCTCCACATGCACACATACACCAATCAACACACCCATTTAAACAATCCATAACCAAAACATAGCATCACACTCATATTAACATAAATAAATGTAAGTTTCATAAACCCTAGGTGTTATCAATTGTAGTCATAAGGGAGATTTTTTCCTTACCTTAGTATTCAAAGCACAAAGGTACTCCTCCTTGGCTCCAAAGTTTCACCTTTCTACCTTACACACATAACCACTTATGAATTTCTCTTTTAACTAAAAAATTCAGAAAAACTAGGGTTTTGAAACTCACCTTTAACCCTGAAATTGAAGTTCTTTAAGGGTGGATGGTGATCTCCTTTAAAAATCAACTTGAAATCCTAAGAAAATTTGAGAATAAAAGCTTGGATTAGTGGCTTTTATGGTGGATTTGAGAGATGAAGAAGAAGATGATATATTTGGGGTCTCCAAGGCCGACTACTCTCTTTTTAAACCTTGTAAATATTCATTCCATTGATACTCTAATGTGATTGGTCAATAAAAGTTAGATATAAAGGTCATTTGGCATAAATTTTTCATATAAGGGCGTTTTGGTCATTTCTACCACAACATAAAGATAAGTACTCATTTAATGCCATTTGACTTCTTTGAAACACTTATCCATTAAGCAATCCCATTAGGTGAATGACTAATTTACCCTTGGTGCACTTTTATGGACACTTAATCATATGGTTTTGTATGAAAAGACCATTATACCCTTGGTTACCGTTTATGCCATTTAACCTTATCAATCAACTTTATAACCATTCTACCCTCATTTCTCTTCAATGACATCATCCTTTACACTTTATAACAGCCACATCTCGAAATACATGTAAATTGACCATTTTACCCTTCCATTCAAAAAAGAAAATTACTTGAAAAGTAAATTTCATACCTTAAGGCATTGGAATAATAACGCGGGGTTTACAACCAGTTGAGAAACTATTTAGTTGTGATGATTACAAGGGATGAAATTGTGAATTATAACTATTTTGTTGTTGAGAAGAACTAGCATATCCAGGAAAGCTATTATGCAATGTTGACATACTAAGCACCACATGATTAAAACAAGCAGAGTGAGTTTTATTGTAAAATTGACCTTGTGCAACTCTAGCTACAAGTAGAGCTTGTGCAACTTGTGCTAACTCCCGAGGAAGAGAATGAACCGAAGCTTGTGAATAAAAATGAGGTGGAAATGTAGATGACACAGTTCTAGATCCAGATGTGGCAAAACCTTGATACTCATGGTCGAATATGTGGTAACACTGTAAAGCAGTGTGACCTCCTTTTCCACACACTTGGCATCTTAATTTGGAATGAAAATAACCGCTTCTTCGACCTTTGTTCCTTATCATTCTAGGATTAAACACGTGGAATGAATTTGCTGAGGCAAAACTATCATTATTGGGTAAGTATAGTTGCTGATATAGTGAGCCAGAATCAGTTCAAGGTCCTTGATTCAAAATATTTCCAGCAAATTGATGTGTAATAGGAAGTTATGTTTGTTGAGCAAAAGTCTGACTCTAAGGTTGACTATTCATAAACGTAGGAGACTGAAAACTTGCAGAATTTGGCAAGTGAGAATATCTCTGAAGAATACCAGGATTAACATCAGGAATATTTGGACTAACATGTTGAGACTGAGGCACTAAGCCAGACTCATTAGCATTTTTTTTTTTTTTGGAAGCTACAAGAGTTGAAGCCATTTGGTCATGAAAACTAGTGAAAGAACTATGCTGTCTTTCCAACCTAATTTCATGCTTATGGAGTAAAAATTGAGCCTCTTGTAGTGTAGTTTGACTATTGTTTGAAGTCAAATTTGCTACCACAACATCATATTTAGGTCCAAGGCCATCCAATATATACAACAACAGTTCCTCATCTGTTATATTCATGCCACTTGCAATCAACTCATCTCCTAATTTGCTCATTTTTAACACATACTCACTAACAGTATAAGCATCTTTCTTAGTTGTTTGCAGTAAATTTTGCAAGTGTAAAGTTCTAGCTTTAGAAGTAGACTGAAAGTGCAGTTCTAAAATGTTCCAAATCTCATACGCAGTATTACACTTAGCTACATGACGGAACATTGACTCAAACATAGTATAGTGAAGCCAACTAACCAGGAATTGATTGATTTTTTTCCAAGAAAAATAGCTAGGGTTTGGTTGTTTTACTAAACCCTAGCTATTTTTCCAGAATCGTTTGAACTTTTGATCACGAACATTGACTGACATGTTTTCTCTCTAGTGACAAAACCTTGAAGTCCATGAGATGTCAACGCTGGTAGAATCTGTGACCTCCAGATTGAGTAATTCTTCTCCAATAATTTCACAGAGATGGAAGGTAAAGTAGTTGGAATACTTGAATTAGTGATATCAGAATTAACAACATCCATTTTCATCAAGCTTAAACTGATTTCTTCTTCTAAAAACAAGAAAAACAAGATTTCACTATCGACTTGTGTCAACAACTCTGATACAATGAAGAATTTAACAGAATCATAGAAAATCAAGAATAAAACTAAGGATGAATAAAACTTTGAGTAAACTTTCTTCTTCGAGTAAACTTTCTTTGTTTTACTTATCAACAATGTTCAACTCCTTGGCTGAATACTATAAGCTTACTTAGGAGACTTTCTAAAAAGTCCTCTTATTAAATTATTATCAGTATGTAACGCCCAACATGGAGGTATATGATTTAAGTTACAATTATTTTAAGAGAATATGAAGAAAATGCCCTAAACTTGTATTAGGGTAAAATAGTCTTTTCACTCAAAATTAGTTAAAATTGTGGGGAGTGAAATGAGCTAGAATTTCATAGAGAATACAATAAAAATAAGGGCATTATGGTAATTGACTAAGGGACAAGGATGGAATTTCAAAAAAAAAGTGTAAGGGCAAAATGGGCAAGCATATTTATAAAAGAAGCTGATAAGGGTTTGTAACCCTTATTTCCTTCATTCCACGCCACTCTCCTCCTCCATTTTCTCTCAAATTTTCATTCACTTCTCCAAGGAATTTGAGGGCTGAGTAGATTTTCATAGGGTTTTAATTCTAGGCATCAAAAGGTAAGAATTCATGCTCTTTATCTATGATTTATTTGTGTAAAAGTTGAGTTCTTATGAAGTTTATGCTTAGGGTTAAGAGAAGATTTGAATCCAACAAGAGTAGAGAGCTTATCAGAGACTACTCAAGCCTAAGGTAAGTAAATTCCACTCAAAATCCAACTCAAGTTAAAGTTTAAGAAAATCAAGTGAGTAGAGATTTCCTTTAAATATGTATATGTTATGATTATTGAGAAGTTGAGATGAGATTGATGATTATTTATGCTTGTTGTTGGATTTATTTGAATATGAGGAGTGTATGTGATGGTTTGATGATGGGTTGAAATTGGAAGAATTAGAGAAATCTTTTGGGAGTGTTTGTGCCGTGTAGGTATGGTGATGATATAAGAGAGTTTTTCTCTCAATTTGGGTGGTTTAAGAAATCAATAGAATGATAATTAAATTGGGTTTGTTCATGCACAATTATTGTTTGATGAAATGCGTAAGTGAAGTATGAGTTGGGTAGAAACCTTAATTTTATGTAACATTGCATATGTGCATTTCATAAGTGCATTCAAGTAAGAAATTTTAAGTATGAGCCATCCATATGTATATAATTGTGTATGTGTAGAAACTTAAGAATAAAGAATAAAGAATAAGAATAAAGAATAAAGAATAAGGAATAAGGAATAAAGAAAGAAAGGATAAAACACTCTAAGAATAAAGAGAAAGGAAGAATAAGCATTAAAGAATTAAAGAGTGTTAAAGAAGAGAAAAAAATAGGTTGTTGTGATGGGGAACCGTGAGTGTTAAGAAGAAATTCCCACATACACGCCACCTTAGTTGAGTGGCATAAGAAGAAGAAGAATTGTACGGCCCATAAGAGTGTATGTGGATGAGGGTTGTACCGAGAAGAATTCCTACATGCACGCTACCTTAATTGAGTGGCCTAGAAGAAAGAAGAAGTTATACGGTCCACAAGAGTGCATGTAGATGAGGACTGTACTCACTCACATGGCCAAGGTTCCAAATCCATACATCAACTGAGTCCGATCGGCAAAGAATAAGAAAAGGAAGAATAAGAAAGAATGAGAAAGAGTAAGAAAAGAAAGAATAAGAATAAGAAAGAGTGAGAAGGCTTGAACAAAAGAAAAGAATAGAAAGAAAAAGAAAAGAAAAGAAATAGAACAAGAAAATAGAAATAAGAAAGAAAAAGCATTTTATGCATTATTGCATATGCATTTTATTCATGCATAGTGCCATGAATTTCATCAAGGTTAGGAAGAATAGAAAGAATAAGAAAGAAAGAACATAGAGAAGTAGAAAGAAAGAAAAGAATAGTGAGAATTAGAAATAGAGAAAGAAAAGAGAAGGAATTAAGTAAGGAAAGAACCTAAGAAGGAGAAGAGTTAAGGGATTTACTTACTGAGCATTTTTATGCTCACCCCATTGTTTTTCCATATTTTTGCAGGAAATAAGTGAGCAACGGTCGGAAGGACATCGACAAGCGGGGAGGATTGGCATTACTGTCCACTGTCACTAAGTTTTTGTACTTTTTATTTTGATATATGTAAAGAATTATATTTCGTAAGTAAAGAAAAATTTGGGCCCAACTATTTTCATATACTAATTATGTATGTTTTTATTGTATATGTTCTAAGGTATACTAGTAGAAAACAGTTATTACACAGTAGGCAGACATATCCATTTCCTAAACCTCAAAACATCATCATCGAATAAGTTGAATTTTGGTTTATTACCCTTCTTCACCAATCTTGAGTAATAAGAAACCAGCATTCCTAGAAGCAGCACTATAGATAACAAAACCATCGCTGCTAGTAAGAATGATCAACCCTAGTGTAGAAACCAACCTCTTTTTAAATTCTTGAAAACTACTTTTGCGTTTCTCATTCCATTGAAATTTGACATTCTTCCTAGTCATTTGAGTTAACAGAGTTGGAAAGTTAAAGAAACACCTTGCACAAATTTCTTGTAGTTGTTGGTGAAACCTAAAAAAATCCTAACTTCTATGACATTAGTAGGTCTTTGCCAGTTCACCATAGCCTCAAACTTGGTAGGGTTAACTATTTTTCCTTTTTTTTGTTTGTAACTAGAGGTGAGCATAATTTTAGGGTAGAACCAGAACCGATAGGTACCCAGGGTTTCGGTTCCTACTTGGAATCGGCCCTCATAGGGTCAGTTCCGGTTTCGGTTCCACCACCGTAGGAACCGAAACCAAGAATTGGAGTTGGAGCCAAGATCCAAGTACCTGGGTAGGAATGAGACTAAACTATAATTTTTGTAAACTATTAGGAGGTGTATTTGTAAATTTTAGAGGGTTTATTTGGTATTTTTTCCCTAATAGTTGCAAATTTTAAAGGGATTATTTGTTAGAATTGGAACCAGAACCTATGTTTCAGGTTCTGGTTCTTGGCTTCTAGGAACTGAAACCTATCGGTTCCAGTTTTGATTCTAGTTTTGGTTCCAAATCCAAGGAACGGATTGATTCTGGTTCCAGTTCTATTCCTTTGAATTTGGGGAGGTACCCTGACTCGCTCATCCCTTCTGTTTTCAGTAAGTGAAGAATTCAAGATTTCCAGAATTCCTCTATTCTTCATTCTCTCATTTTTTCTGTTTTGTTTTTCCTAAAATCTTCAACCCCTATTAGTAACCATATATCCCAAAAATACTACCTATTCTGTCCAGAATTCACACTTCTTAAGTTTTGCATAAAGTTTCTCTCTCCAATGGTAACAATAATCAAAAATGTTTTTCATGTTTTTTACCTTTTGAAAATACCTAAAAATCATAATACATACATACAATAACAAATTGGTCAAGGTAAGGTTGAAACACTCTATTCATCAAATCCATGAAGCCTGTAGGAGCATTAGTTAACCTGAATGCATAACTAAAAATTCAAAATGTCTATAGCACGCATGAAAAGTTGTCTTCGGCACATCATCACATTTAATCTTCAACTGATGGTAACCTAGTCATAGATCAGACTGATCAGTATTTTAAAATACAAAACGCACATTGTAATTGACCCAAGAGATCACTAAGGGAGATGATACTTGTTCTTGATAGTAACTGAGTTGAATTGATGATAATCGATATACAAACACACTGAAGCCATCATTCTTCTTCACAAATGACACAAAAGCACCTCGTGCTAAAACATTAGGGTAAATGAAACCTTTAGAAAAGCAACTCATGCAATTGATTCTTTAACTCCTCCAACTTCAAAGTTGCTATTCGACTTGTAGCTTTAGAAATAGAAGTATTGCTAGCTAGGTAATAAGTCAATTGCAAATCCAATTTCTTGATCAGGGTGTAGACCGGGTAAGTTTTCTTGATATACATTTGGAAACCATCTAACTATTGATATGACCTTAAGACTCACCTCTTTATTATCATGAACCATCACACAAGCCACAAATCTTCCTCACCCTTTCTTTATCATCTTTGTTGCTTCAATTGTAGAGATTATTAAATTTCGTGTCCTTTGAAATTGAAATTCTTTTTCTCTACGTATATGAAAAACAATCTCCTTGATAAAAGCAATCAACATTCACATGATATTTCGGTAACCAATTCATCCCTAAAATAACGTCAAAATCATACATCTCTTACAACAAGAGATCTATAGGAAATTCTTTACTCTAAAGGCTAATCTCATAAGACTTAAAAACACAATAAATCAAAACACAATCACCTAAAAGAGTATCAACTGACAAAGGAATTTTAGTGGCTTAAACGAGTTTTCTGAATGACAAACAAAACCACATGACATGAAAGAATGAGTAGCGTTAGAGTCGAATAAAACTTTTAGCTTTTAGAAACCAATGCTAGTATACTTGATACCACATTAGCAGAAGCCTCTGCATCTTGCTAAGTCATAGCGAAATCACATCGTTGGGTCTTTGGATTATTCTTTTTACTCGCATCTTCTTGAGTATCAATAGTAGCACGCCTCTTCAGACAATCTTTGATCAAATACCCTATTTGTTCACAGCCAAAGCAAGCCCCAATCTTCTATAACATTCTCCGGAATGCACCTTACCATGATGCTGACAAAGAGATGCATTTTTCTGGAAAGATACCTTTTCGTCAATTTTTTTAGATGAACCACCGTTATTCTACTTTAGCAATGAGCTACCTTGTTTGCTAAAACCACCACCATGGGCTCCATCATGCCTATTCTACTTTTTTTGGGTCATTCCAAACATTTTGATACTCAACCAAGGATATCTCAACTATCATTGTCTGACCAACCTATCAACATAAGTATATAGCTTAAGAATAGACAACTGAGTCTTAATATTTGGTTGCAAAACTATAAAAACTTG